TAAATTCTTCATCATACTTGAATATAGCTAACAACTAAACAACATGAAAATTATGCCATTTCATTGACCTTTACAGACTCTAGGACGGAGATTGGCCCTCAAATGCAAAGGTAGTAGGCAACTTGATTGCAAAATTCACCCTTTAATGGGACAAATACCAGTCTTGGTGATCTGAAGGGACTTCATTCGATAATGTGAGTGAATTCACTCCATCTCAAGGATCAAATTTATGATTAACAACTTTGACAATCTTTCATAGTCTGAAGTTTAGGAGACCAGCACTTGACAAAAGGGTCGTGAAAGAGCAATATAAACATCAGGATGTTAGGTGAAGTAGCACGAATGCTACGCCTTAGATGGTGAAAGTCCAATAGTTGAAAGCATCACCAGCTTACTATGTGACTCGAATAGCATGAAATACGTGGAATCCCATGTGAATCAACAACGACCATTTTGTAAAAGGCTAAATACTCATAGATAATCAATAACAAAGTGATGAGGACATCCAGTTATTTATTTTAAGTGACATCCAGTTTATTTGTTTCATTTTAGTTGGATTGTTTTTTGTTTATTTTAGTTGGGTTATTTTTCATTTTAGTTGGATTGTTTTTTGTTTATTTTAGTTGGGTTATTTTTTTGTTTTTTGTAATGGGTTTTGCCCACTCTCTTTAGGTTTTTGTTATTTAAATCTTTTTCGCCATGTAATGGATAGTTGATTAATGAATAAAACTTTTGTTGGCTTGTAGCGAATTCTCTCTCCCTACTTTCTTCTATTTCTTCTAGTGATTTTTCTATCGTTCTTCCTATAATCTCTTCTTCCCCAACCTATTTTCTTTCTCCACTAATTGTGTCATTCTATCCTACATCAAATTTGGTATCAGAGTCGAATCTTGGGTAATTTCTTTCTTATAATCCCAAATTTCTTCCTAAAATTTGTTGGAACAGCGTGAGCGAGAAGAAATTTCATGTAAGAGCAGCAGATTTTAATTTTCCAGTTTTCTTTCCTTGTTATTCAAAAAAAAAAAAAAGAAAAAAAAAAAAGAGAGAGATTTGTCAGCTAAAGCTGTTGTTAGGTACAGAAATGCTATTTCACAATTTTTTTCCTCACTAATTCAACCCTACCTATCACAAAAGGACCAAACTATCCAGCCCACTACCTAAAGCACTAGTCTATCGTCCAAATCAATTAACCCAGCCCAGAATCCACGCAGCGCGATTCTAAAGCACAGGAACCAAACTTGGCCGGCCCAATTACCAAAATACCCAATCTATATTTCACTTAACCCATCCTAACACACCCATTACCTAGCCCACATAATCAACCCATTACACCGCTGCCAGAAGTCGACCTCAACACCGTTGTTCTCTCAGCAGCGTCACTTGCAGACGCCCACACCGGCATCCCTCAGCCGCATCACTCGCCAGCAACCCTCAAAACCCCCGACAACGCTCTTCAATCAGAGTCCAGTCTCCTCGCCTCCACTACACCATCTACCGATTTAGCCAAATCAACGCCATCACACCCATCTCGACCTCCATCTCCTTCGCATGTAACAGCCACAAGCCGCTACCACTACTTTTCCACGCCACTATTCAGCTGCAACCTTCCTGCAACTTGACCCCTCCGTGCCCATCTCACCGGTTCGAGTCGCACCCTACAACTACTGTCATCGTCATTAACTGTCTTCCAACCACAAACACGCCAATCAAATTGGAACTACCTGTTAACCTTTAGACTCTTTGTCTCACATATACTCAACCACGCCAACAAGCTTTGGCCAATCACCAACAAGCAATTGCAAGCCAAATCAAAAACAGAGCTCAAACTTGTAGTCAAATACATTGTTATAGCTTCAGTTTCGCATTCAGTCCATTGTCTTTACATGATATTCCCTCACCAACATAGAGAAGTTAACCAATTCTAACTGGGAGTGATTTCAAGAGTTGACGACAATTGACAAGAAGGAAAGGATGCAAGCGCACGGGGTTCCAGGCATCGCACCTCAAACAACTAAACAACAGGGAGTTCTTGGCCTTTATTCATTATTAATTGACACTACTGCTTTATTTAGAATTGCATCAATTAATTCTTTGTGTTGTTACTACTTTAATTATGTTAGCTTTAAACCCTACTTGACCGCAATTCACGTATCAACTTCCATCGTTCCCCGCATACCCAACGTGATTAGACCTTTCGTTTAGTCAATTATAATCTTCCTTTTATTTTATTTGCATTACGTTATTCGCTTGCTACGCTCGGACCTGCGTAATCCTATCTTTTAAGTAACTAAAAAATAAAATAAAATTAAAAAAATTAAAAAAATTCAGATTGCTAATCTACTGTTGGCACTCGTTTATTGTTTCTGTAGTGCACTTCACCTAGCTGGTGTTACCAGGTATGCAATTGCGTAGTGGTCATGTTACTGCTTCTAGTGCTAGTACCCTTGCTATGGATCAATCCCAAATTGAAGCTCTCATTCGACAGTTAGCACAATTACAAAATCAATTAACGGCTGTCCAAACTGAGTTAGCCGCTACTCGTGAGGAGAATAGAGCCCTAGCCGCTAGGTTGAACACTCTTGATCCAACCCCATATTTGACTGAAGCTGAAAACTCTGAAACTTCCATTAATAGGCCTCAACGTCGTCCATAAGGTGGTCGACACCACGCCAGATATGATCGTAGGAAAGGAAATCAGGCTCATGGACGAGAGCGAGAATATCGCCGTCATGGTACATAATCTTCCCCTTGCCACGAGGAGCGCCTCTTTCAAAATATTAAGTTAGATGCCCCTACATTTGATGGTTGTCTAGATCCTAATGTATTCAATTAGGGATGGGCAAAACTCCCGAACCAAACCGACCGAACCGAACCCGACGGTTCTTGTCAAATTAAATACCCGAACGGGTATTTGAATTGAAAATCGACGAGTACGGTTCGGTTCTCGATTCTAGACCAAGAGCCAAAGAACTGAATAAGAATCGAATCTTTCTAATTTATTTTTATATTGAATAAATCAAATTATTTTAATTTTATTTTTTCTAAAAAATTAACAAATTAACAATTTCTAAATCCAAATTTTTGGCCCAATAATTTGTTTCATTTCTAATTTTTTAATTTTTAGCACAATTACCCATTTTATTATTTCATTTCTTAGCCCAACAAGATCCAACCCACTAAATAACACTCAAATTCGCAGACCATCCCCCTACCAATAAAGCCAGGAAGTTTCACAATCCGAGAATCGTGGTAATCGATCCTGAAATGAGAGTAGAGGTTTCTTCCTAAACACCTACACTAAAGTGCATAACGTTGTCTCGACTCTCCCACTCACTCTCGCAGCCTCGCTAATATTTCAAAACCTATACAATCGTAAGCCGACGCTGTAACCTCCGACAGAAGCTGTGACCTTCGCTGACCAAAGTTTTGACCGCAGCGATCATTTGAACAAGGTTGAATATGTCATTAGCTGTATTTATATAAAGTTGTTATAAATGTTAAAAAATTTAATTATAGTACGGAACCGAACAGAACCAAACAGAACCGAATTGAACCGAACCGAACCCAAACGGTTCCATAATTATATTTGGACCCGACGGTTCCATTTACTAGATATCCAAAAATTGTGGTTCGATTTGGTTCTCTTTAAAATCGAATCGAACCGACCCACGCCCACCTCTATATTCAATCAATGGGTTAGAGATACAGATCGCTTCTTTACCTAGTATGGGGTCCTAGAAGATCGGAGGGTACAATTTGCCAGTTTGAAATTAATTGGCACTGCTCAACTCTTTTGGGAAAGTGTTGAGGACCTCTTGGAGAGGCGTCATGCTCCCCCTGTTGGGACCTGAGATGAAATAAAGCGTCGCCTTCAAGAAAAATATTTACCTCAATCTTATAGGGTTAACTTGCTGGATCAATGGAACGCACTTACGCAAGGCAATCGACTTGTGACCTACGTCGGGCAATTTGATGAGTTTCAAATGAGATGTCAGGTCGTTGAGGATGAGGTCATGACTTTGAGTAGGTTTAGGCAAGGCCTAAGAGATGATCTTAGGCGCGAGCTTGTCCTTAAAGGTGTCACCACTCTTGATCACGCCTACTCTTTCGTTCGGGATTACGAGTTAGTGACTAGGACACCGTATGGAACTCGTAGTGACACTCGCACTGCAACCTCTTCTACATCCACTCCATCCCCTAAGTCTATTCTGGGGCCTCCTCCTTCTAATACTACCCCTACATCGAATAATGAAGGTAAAAGTTCTGAGGTTTCAAGGGCGTCCCCTTGTTTGCAATACTTCAACTGTAAGGCTTTTGGTCACATTTCTTCTAAGTGTCCTAGCCGAGCCCTAGTTATGGACGGGGATGAAGTTATAGTTGACAAGCCATTAGAGGACCAGGTTTATGAACCTAAGTTAGAAGAGTTTGATGACTTAGAGGATAGTGAGGATACTTTCTTAGGTTGTATTCAGGCTAGTACCCTTATCCCACATACGCCTAGAGTTGGTGTCGTCCGTTGCACTCTTACCTAGGTAAGGAATGCCGATGATTGGCGTCTTCATGCCATCTTCTACACTTACATCAAGATCAATAACAAGGACTGTAAAGTTATCGTGGATAGTGGCAACTGCATTGATACGATTTCGATGGCTACTATATTCCGTCTAGGGTTGAAGCCACTTCCTCACCCTCAACCATACAACGTCTCTTGGGTTGATATCTCTTCTATAGCTGCTAAGGAGCGTTGTTTAGTCCCTATCCAGTTCCTTGAGTATAAGGATCATATATGGTGTGATGTCATTTTCATGGATGTTGAGCATATCATCTTGGGGAGACCTTGGTTATTTTACCTAGATGTAACCATCTATGGTCGATCCAATTCTCATTCCTTCATGTTTAATGGAAAGAATATTCACCTTAACCCACTGCCCCCAAAGCCTGTTGGCTCACAGGAAATGAAGAAGAGTGTGGAATGAATGGGATTGCATATCATTAGTCCTATGGAGTTTGAGCATACACTTGTTGGTGACTCAATTGTGTTCGCTTTAGTAGTTATGGAGGTTTCATCTAACTCCACAATAGAGAGCCCTGCTAAAGTCTGGTCGTTCCTTCAAGAGTTTCGAGATGTCTTTTCGGAGGACTTACCTGATCATCTACCTCCTCTATGAGACATTCAACATGCCATAGATTTTGTTCCAGGGCATCCCTTCCAAATTTACCTCATTATAGGATGAATCCTACCGAGCACGCTGAACTCCAAAGGCAAGTGGATGACCTCCTTCACAAAGGATTCATTCATGAGAGTTTAAGCCCTTGTGCAGTTTCCACCCTGTTGATCCCTAAAAAGGATGGTTCATGGAGAATGTGTGTGGATAGTCGTGCCATCAATAGGATCACTGTAAAGTATCATTTTTCCATTTCTAGACTTAACGATATGCTAGATACAATGGTTGGGGCTACAATCTTTTCGAAGATTGATCTGAAGAGTGGATACCATCAGATTAGAATTCGCCTGGGTGATGAGTGGAAAACCACCTTTAAAACGAAAGATGATCTTTATGAATGGTTGGTCATGCCTTTTGGGCTAAGCAACGTGCCCAGTACCTTTATGCGGGTAATGACACAAACTCTTTGACTTTTCATGGGTAAGTTTCTTGTTGTCTACTTTGATAATATTCTCATATATAGTAAGACTAAGGAGCAACACCTTAACCACCTTACACAAGTTTGAACTACCCTATGTGCAACTAATTTGTATGCTAATGTCAAGAATTGCTCTTTCTTCATCGATACAGTTGTTTTCCTGGGGTTCATTGTCTCTTCAACAGGGGTATCTGCTAAACCTGCCAAGGTTCAGGCAATTCTTGACTGGCCTGAACCTAAGACTATTCATGACGTCAGGAGCTTTCACGGTTAGCTATATTTTACCGTCGCTTTATCAAGTTGTTTAGCACTATTATGGCACCTATTATGGAGTCCATGAAAAAGGGGAGTTTCATTGGACACAAGAAGCGGCTAAGGCCTTTAAGTTGGTCAAGAAACGAATGACGAAGGCCCCTGTCATGCGTCTTCCCGACTTTTCCAAAGTCTTTGAGGTCGAATGTGATGCCTTCGGGATAGGTATAGGCGGAGTCTTAAGTCATGATTGTCACCCTGTTGCCTACTTCAGTGAGAAGTTAAATGAGACCAAACAACGGTACTCAACTTATGATAGGTGGTCCAGGCTTTGCGCTATTGGCACCACTATTTGTTGCCCCATGAGTTTGTCCTTTATTCGGACCACGAGGCCCTCTGTTACCTCAACTCCCAGAAAAGATTAAGCTCTAGGCATGATCATTGGATTGAATATTTGCAGGCATATTCATTTGTTTTAAAACATAAGAAGGGTGTGGAGAACCAAGCAGCTGATGCATTAAGTCGTCGTATCTTCCTCTTGTCGAACATGAGTATCAAGGTCATCGATTTTGAAAGGTTTAAGGAGGATTACGAGGCATGTCCCGATTTTAAAGATATCTTTCTTGATTTGGAAAGGGGACAATCAGGCACCACAAATAGCTTTCGACTTGAGGAGGGTTATCTCTTTAGAGCCAATAAATTGTGCATCCTTCGAACTTCAATGCGAGATTTCATAGTGTAGGAAGTTCATACGAGAGGTTTAGCCGGTCACTTTGGGCATGATAAGACCATAGAGGAGGTTGAACGCCAATTCTATTGGCCTAGTTTGAAGAAGATGTGGCTAAAATTGTCAGTACTTGTAACACTTGTCAATTGGCCAAACAAAATAGGCAAAACACAGGCCTATACACTTCTCTTCATGTCCCTAATTGTCCTTGGCAAGATGTTAGTATGAATTTTGTGTTAGGACTTCGACGCACCCTAAAGAGACATGGTTTTATTTTTGTGGTTGTCGACCGTTTCTTGAAAATTGCTCATTTTATCCCCTGTAGCAAGACCTCAGATGCGTCCTAGGTTGCCACGTTATTCTTTAATAAGATTGTCAGATTGTATGGGCTTTCCAAGACCATTGTGTCCGATAGGGATGTTTGTTTCACTAGCCATTTTTGGAGAACTTTGTGGCAAAAGATGGATACCAAATTGAAGTTCTCTACGGCCTACCACCCTCAGACTAACCGTCAAACTGAAGTAGTTAATCATAGTCTTGGTAATTTGTTACGATGTCTACTTCGGGAAAATCTTCGTAATTGGGATTTGATCCTTCCTGTAGCTCAAATTGCTTATAACAGTTCCGTGAATCTCTCATTGGGTATGAGTCTATTTGAAGTTGTTCACGGGAATAAGCTTAGGAAGCCGTTAGATCTCATTCCTATGTCCCCATAGGCTAGAGTCAGTCGAAGCATTCACACAACATCTTCGTGATTTGCATATTGAGATCAATAAACAACTTGAAGCTAATAATACAAAATATAAGCTCCAAGCTGATTTACATAAACAACATATTGAGTTTAACGTTGGGGATTACGTTATAGTCCACATTAGGCCAGAGCGGCGTCTACATGGACCCGCCTCCAAATTGCAAGCCCATAGTGATGGTCGTTTTAAAATTTTAAAGCAAGTTAATCCAAATGTATATGCTGTTGACATTCCACCACACCTTGGTTACCACTCTACTTTCAATGTTGAGAACCTAGTAGCTTATAAAGGTCATTTCATTCCCTCAGATAATCATTTATTACCTCATTTTGTGGACCTTAATCCCGACTATTTGGCCACTTCTAACCCACTACCACCTCTCAAAGCACACACAGATAAAATTGATGCTATTTTAGATGAAGAAACTGTATTAACTAATGATGGAGAGGTTCAGCGCTTCCTTGTTCGTTGGGTTGTTCGACCAGATTCTGACTATACATGAATCTCCAGAGAGACATTACAACAATTGGATCCAGATTTATTGGAGCTTTATCGGAGTCAGCAGGATCTTCCTTGGCCCAAATCGCCTCCCGTTCTCCCAAGGGAAGTTGGTAAGGATACTAGATTCAGATCTCCACTGACACATTTCTACAGACGCCAGAAGAAGCTTGCCCTACCACTCAACTTATGGTTGGGAGATTAACTGCAACCTATATTGATATATCCACTCTACAGGGTCGAGTTTTCTCCCACCCGGGGAGAGTTGATGAGGACATCCAGTTATTTATTTTAAGTGACGTCCAATTTATTTGTTTCATTTTAGTTGAACTATTATTTTGTTTATTTTAGTTGGGTTATTTTTTATATGGACTTGTGTAATGGGCTTGGCCCTCTCTCTTTAGGTTTTTGTTTTTTAAATCTTTTTCGCCATGTAATGGACAGTTGATGAATGAATAGAAATTTTGGTGGCTTGTGGCGAATTCTCTCTTCCTACATCTTTTACTTCTTCTATTTCTTCTAGAGATTCTTCTATCGTTCTTCCAATAATCTCTTCTTCCCCGACCTATTTTCTTTCTCCAGTAATTGTGTCAATCTATCCTGCATCACAAAGACCTCTATAAATTTTCATTTAAAGGCTTTTTAAAATTTCATTTGATTTTCACTTACTTTATTTTAATTAAACAATAGAATCTTGTATATAATATATTTCTATATAAGTTTCAATTCGCATTCAATATGAAGGTCTCATGGATACTTTCTCTCTCTCTCTCTCTCTCTAAGATTTTTAGATGGCATAAGATTTTAACAAAAGTCCACTATATAACAATCTACAATGTATGTACATTTCTAAATAATATAAGACTAAACTCCTCATGTAGAGGTTGTAAACATTAAAAAAAAAAAAAAAAAACAAAAAAGAGAGAGAGAGAAGTTAGGTTATGCCCTATAAGTTAAACAGTTTTCAACAAACATACTAGACACCAACTATAAATTAAGCCATAAGTCAATGGCATCCTAAAGTAGTGGGGGTGGATCACGGTCAAAATTTTCAAATACCAAATCACGCATGAATTCTTCATCAATCAAGCTTATAAATACTTCAGTCAAACTCTCTTTCGATTGAAATACTTTCATAAAGTCACGCTTTTCTATCTTTATGCCTTGTAGTTTTTTTTAAGGCCAATAGCCAATATATGTGGTTTAACATATCTAACGTTGCTTAAATCTCCACAATATTAGCATTTTTTCAGAAAATTTGGCAATACTCAATGGACCACTAAGGCTCTCGTCATAGTTTGTATACGTCTAAGCCAAATTTTGTTGGTTCCTCCTTCGACGTTATGTTTAGGAGGTATCCTCATTTTGATCGTCAACCTCGTTTGCACTTTTATCTATTAAAAAAAATTAAAATTTTATAAAATTAAAAAATTAAAATTTTATAAAATTTGAAATATATATTTATTATTTACAATCTTTTGAATACCATGAATGTAAGAGAAATTGTCATTATCAGTTACAGCGTGATCTCTTGTAGCAAAATCATTTCGAAAGGTGCATGCATCCAAATCATTCATGATAAGGACAAAGTTTGGTTCTCCACTTTTCAAATATTGGTTTTCGCTATGAAAAAAATAGAGGGAAAAATTTTTTTATACTGAATCGATGTCAAAAAAATGTTTTGACACCACGACTCCGCATCTGTCGTACGCACTCTCAACTGCTTTAAGTACTAGTTATGATGAAATGCTATTGTCACTTCTTTTGTAACTAGCCAATACTTGATGAATTAGTGTAGTTATTATACAACCATCCATTGCATCACTCCAACATACATGACGAATCCTAGAATTAGGATCTACATGGGTTGAGCATATATCCTCTACATCTGAATGGGTGGTTGGTCTATGGACTCAAAAAGGTACAATGGAACTTTATTGATTATGTGCCATGAAATTTGTCTTGTAAGATTAAAAGTTTATAATCAACCATTACATAAAAAGATAGATTATTAGACAAAAAATTTTTTTACGTGTTTTTATGTAGTGGTTGATCATAAATTTTTAATCTTGCAAGACAGATTTCATGGCACATAATCGATAAAGTTCCAAGGCACCTTTTCGAGTCCATAGACCAACCACCCATTCAGATGTGGAGGATATAAGATCAACCCATGTAAATCCTAATTTTAGGATTCGTCGTGTACATTGGAGTGATATAATGAATGATTGTATGATAACTGTACCAGTTCATCACATGTTGGTCAAAGTGACAATTGATTTTTATCATATCTAGTGTCCATAGCAGTTGAGAGCATGTATAATAAATATGGAGTTGCAATGTCAAATAGGAATGTCAGTAATCGATTGAAGACTCTAAAAAAATATATGTTGAAGTTCTCCAGTTGGAAAGTATGAAAGGTTTTTTGTTGGATCCTTACACTAGACGTGTCAGAGCCGAAGCATTTGCTTGGGAGGAGTTTTTGAAGTTAAAATATTTCATAGACAAATAAAACTATTAGGCATTACATATTAGCAGTATAATTTATTTGGGACATTGACTAAGCATAAAACTTATTTTTCCCTCCACTTTGTGTGTGTGTGTGTAGGGAAACTAGAATTTGAAAAGTGGAGGACCAAACTTTGTCCTCGCCATGATGATTTGGAGGCTATATTTGGAAATGATTTTGTTACGGGAGATCGTTGTAATCGGCCATGACAATTTTTCCTTCATTCATGATAATTAGATGAAAGTGTGAATGAGGTTAATGGTCAACATGAAGATACGGATCCAAACCCAAATCGTGCTCCTAAGCATAAAGTCAAAGGAGGAACCAACAAATTTCGGCATAGACGTATCTAACCCAATGATGGAAGTTTTTGTGTCCTATCAAGCATGGTCGAATCCTCTAAAAAAAAATTGCCAATAGTATGAGGAGTCAAGCAACGTTAGATATGCTAAAGCACATCAATTGAAAATTGGTTCTTGGAAAACTACAAGGCATGAACATAGACAAGCGTGACATTATACAGGTCATGAAAATATTTCAATGAGACGAGAGTTTCACTAGAGTGTTTATGAGTTTGACTATTGAAGAATACATGCATGATTCCGTATTTGAGAAGCTCGATCGCGATCCACTTCAACTACTTTTCGATGCTAATATCTTACAAGGCATAACAAAAGTTATATTTCTAGAGCCCCTATGACAGAAGAATCTTGCCAAATTCTTTGATAGAAGGTAGTGTGGCGGTATGTGATTGGGTGAGAAAGTTGACTGCGTTATAAACAGTCCAATGACAAAATGTTGTGTGACATTATATCAACTATTATGTCAAAGATTATGTCACTATATGTTAAATTCTGACAAATTCTACATGAAGAGTTTAGACTTGTATTATTTAGAAACTTACACACATTGTTGATTGTTATATAGTGCACTTTTGTTAAAATCTTATGCCATTTAAAAATTGGTTATATAATCTATTATATCAACATCTAATTCTAATCAGGAAAGATTTTGGAGAAAAGTTAAAAGTTCCATGAAAAAGGTGACAATTTTCATGGAAAATAACAACTCTCAAACAACAAAAGTTGGAAAAAATGAATATTAAAACTAAAAGATGGAAAATTACAATATTTTCTAGATTGAAAATTAAGTTAATCAAACACATTTAATTAATAATTTTTATGTAAAATAAACTCCAGACATATTCTTTTCACTTTTCATGCTTACGATCGAAGAGATTCATAATTATAAGACTACAT